AGGAAGGAGTGAACAATGCCCCAAAGACCCATCTCTGCCTGATGCCCTCAATAAGTTCTATGCACGCTTTGAAGACCCGAACAGACCACCCAGCACCAGACTCACCTTACCACCAGATGAAGAGCATCTCAGCGTGACCTCAGCCGAAATAAGGAGTACCTTCAGGAGGATTATTCCGCCCAAAGCAACCGGCCCAGACAACATCCCCGGGAAAGTGTTGAAAGAATGTGCCGATCAGCTCTGCGAGGTGCTGGCAAACATCTTTAACACCTCACTTACCCTGGAGACAGTTCCCACCTGCCTGAAGACCACCACCATCATCCCAGTCCCAAAAAGCTCTACAGTGACTGGTCTGAATGACTATCAGCCAGTAGCCCTCACCCCGATAGTCGCTAAATGCTTCGAAAAACTGGTCAGGACTCACATCAAGACAACCATCAACATCAACGAGGACCCTCATCAGTATGCATACCATGAGAATCGATCAACAGAGGATGCAATCTCCTCTGTGGTCCACACTGCGCTCAACCACCTGGAGCAGAAAAACTCTTAGGTCCATATGCTCTTTGTGGACTTCACATCCGCCTTCAACACCATGATCCACCAAACCCTGATGGACAAACTATCCACACTAGGACTGAGCCCCTCCATTTGCAACTGGGTTCTAGACTTTCTAACAAACAGACCACAGTTAGTGAGGATCCACAACTTCTCCTCCTCCACCATAACCCTCAGCGCTGGCTCTCCTCAGGGATGTGTGTTGAGCCACCTCCTGTTCACTCTGCTCATGTATGATCGTGCAGCTACCCATCCAGGCTGTCACATTGTAAAGTTTGCAGATGATACAGCAGTGGTGGGATGCATCACAAACAATGATGAGTCCAGCTACAGGCAAGAGATGGAACACCTGGAGAGCTGGTGCAGAGAGAATAACCTTCACATCAATGTGAAGAAGACAAAGGAGATGATTGTGGACTTCAGAAGGAACAAAAACACCTACACCCCCCTGAACATAAGAGGATCTGTGGTGGAAGTGGTCTCTAGCTACAAGTACTTGTGTGTGCACCTGAACAACAACCTCAGCTGGAGCAACAACACCACCAGCCTGATGAAGAAAGATCATCAGAGACTCTACTTCCTCAGACGGCTGAGACGAGCTGGTCTGGAAGCTCAGTCCTCACCTCCTTCTACAGGTGTGCAGTGGAGAGCATCCTGTGCTCCAGCATCAACGTGTGGCATGGAG